AAGTAATGTGACTTAAATAATACCTGAAGAATACTCTTTAATCTTTCCTGATAGTTCACATACATACATACAGAGAGAGGACAAGAATCATTTCTCTTTGTAAGGCATACATCTTTCAAAGTCCTTGCTGTATTACACTGCTGTAGCGTGCTATAACTTTTGAATGTTTTGAACACTTCTTTAACATATCATCTGGGTGTCGTTTGGATTTCAGATAGACATAACTGTGACTCTTTCCTAGCTTTTCTTTTTTTAATACTTGATGAATCCTGCTTGTCATCTCTAGACATTAACATGACTTTCTGCTCTGAGGTTTCCAAAAGGTCAGTTCTGTGAATACTTCCGAGCGTAGTAAAATCAGAGCCAGATTTATTGTTAGCACTGTCTTTAGGACTACAGCCTGAACCAGAAGGATTTGGCAAAAGAAAAGTGGGAAGAAAGCAGTAAGGGCATGGATACTGAAGGTTACTGATACAGTGCAGACTTTTCTCTGTTTCGTTGTGGTAGGCATCATTCTTTCTACCCTAGTCTTGGTAACTGTGGAGTGCTTAATGCCTGACATCTACTGAAAATTGACGTGTTGTGCCTAAATATTAATTTCATATGCGATTCATTCTCTTGGGAGGAATGAAATTGTCTAGATTAGTACTTCAAAAACTCTTAAAACAACCCAGCTAATGGTTCTCAGCATAATTCTTCACATCTATGACTTACAGTTTGCAGGTTTTCTTTTCTTTCTGTATGACCTTAGGAAAAGAGGGGCAGGCGTGTATTCCAGGATTGAAGATGTAGGTATAGAGAGTGAGCTAGGAGATAGGTCTTCAAATACCAGCTGCAACAGGATAAATGACCCTATTATAATGATGTGGAAGCAAAAGCTGCTAAAATAGTGGATAGTGCCTTTGTTTCACAGCTGGGGGTTTAGCTTTGAATTGGCAGTCAAGTAATAAAGAGGTCTGTGGTAAAGGAGGTGATATTCTAATAGCCACGTCTGCATGATGGTGAAGCCTGATACCTATTGTCTGTGTTTTGGCTAGAACTATGAAGAACATTGCTCTGGTGTAACTTACGTCAGACAAAAGTGTATTTTCCTAAGGATTCCAGACACGAGAAACACAAAGTTCATGTCATCATATCCTGCAGGGTCTGGAGAAGAGAGGTGGCGGTAATGATCTGTTGTATAACAGGCCAAAGGACAGATTCAGTTTCCATGTAATTGCTGTAGGGACCAGAAATGTGAGGACAGGTGTGTTGGTTTTTCTGTTTTAAGTGTGGTCCACAGGGGTCTGTCTTCAAGCTCCATCTTTCTCACAAACTGGGCTAATTGACGCTTCTGAAATAGACTGCTTTTTAGGTGGTGCAACTGATAGTATGGACAAACATTGCCTGGAAGTTTGGATGCTAGGCAGCAATAGGATAGCAGTGGTCGGTCGTGATGACTGCAGTGTGTAGTGACTGACTATTGAATGTAGCCTGCTCTGTCTCAGCTGAGAAACGACTGTTGGGATTAAAGGTGTGCTGGTCAAAAAATACTTCTAAACTCATGAGGTCACCTTTTTGGGGGCATCCTGACAATACAGCGGTACAAGCACTGAAAGAATGTTTTGAGAGGATGCGTTGCTCGCTTTTCACTGCACTAGCGTATGGTAAATATGTATAAGCAAGTTGTGGATGGAGATCTTACCTCTACAGAGGGAAGGAAGATGCCTTTTCTTTACGTCTTCTCCAGTTATAAAGCAACAGCCAAGAATTACAGGGCAAAAAGTCAAAGTAAAGTAAACGTTTAAGAAATGTTGCAATGTGTATTTGGCAAACTTGAGTTGTCAGCCACTGAATATACTAGATGCTAGGTACTGGAATGCCCAATTGATTCTTAGAAAAGCTGTTGTGTGCAGTGTTTTCCCAAATGCATTATGCATTTCCATTTTGCATTTGGGAAGACGAATAGAAGATGTGTTTCTTGATTTCTTCTGTAACATCTTGCTTATGTGAACTTCTAACAGATGTTAAAAATAATGGGTCTAAGTCCCACATTATGCTGCCTCTTCCAAAGGTGTTCGTAAGCTTGAGGTGTGTTTTCTGTTTTGCTTTTGAGGTTTTTTTTCCTCTCTTTACGCTTTTGGGTTTCCACCTGAAGTATCCTAAGAAATGCAAAATGAATCTGGGTTTCCAAAGATAACATTTAACTAGCTTGTGATCCAGAATAAGTACAAATAAAATGTCTTTGCTGTCTTTCTACCTCTGAAAGCAGGTGAAGCAACCCATCTTCCACCCGTGAACGGCTCAATTCAAGCAAAAAAGAAAATTACAAAGCATTGCTTTCTTTGTGGCAAGAAAACTGGATTGGCAACCAGCTATGAGTGCAGGTAGGCTGAGCACATAACCAGCTTAAATTTGATAGCTGGGTTAACCAGCAGGTTTTTTATGCTGCGTGGTATTCCTTAGGCATAGCAAATCAAAAGACAACCTTCGAAAGAGCTGCAGTTCTCAGTTCAGCGAAACTCCAGGAATTAAGAGTTCAGGAACGTTGTACCTGTTCTGCTGTTGAGGTGTACGTTCTTCCAGGAAAATCAAGATGTAAGGTAGCAGGGGAAAAAGAACGTGATTACCAATAAAGGTGATGATATTTTATACTGGTGTGGAGAGAACTGGTTTCAGATTTGTGTTCAGCAAAGTTTCTCACCAATAATTATATCACTTACAACTCGAGGAAAAACTGGTTTTGTTACGGTTTTTCAGGAAGTCTGCCTCAGATTTGGCCTTACTACAACACATCTGCACAGTTTGGGAATTTATACAAATTTGTGTTTGTTAGCTTCTTGATTTAATGTGTTTTCTGTTTTCTTGTGAGACTTCGGCCACCTTTGAGCATCTAGAGCATCTCAAAAGCAGAACGTCAAAGTGCTGGTCCCCCAAATCATGACTTGCAGATGACACAGCAAGACCTGGCGCTTGGTGGCAATCACTGGAAACTTAAAGATACCAACAATAAAAGCAAAACACTTTCTCTGTTGGTCTTGGGTCTCAAAAGTATAGTTTCCCACAAGATGATATTTTTCGGCTTCCCATGAACTAGTCAAGGTTGGGAACTGCTGCACTGTGAGGGCTACATCTGAAGCTGATCTTGGTTCAATCAACAGCAAAATGAACAAGGCTTCTGCCACTGGGGAGTTGTACTGGAGAGTTTCAGGGTAAGGAACTGTCTCCTTACTGACTCTTCAGTCTTTGATTTTTGAAACAGTTTTGGACACTGTACCCTTTCCTGCTAAGTGAATAGCCGCAAGCTCTTCTAGAAGTAAATAAGCAGCTTGCTTAAGGTTAAAAATGAAGCACAGAGAAAGGGGGGAAATCACACACGTCCTAAAATAGCATTTGTTCTAGTTTCAAAAGGAGCAACCATGTGACCTGTGACCTTTTACTAGCATGGAACATGAGCCAAATAGAGAACACAGTCATATGAGAGGACTGGGGATTGTGGGACCAAGACCCAAAGAAAAGCAAATTTATTACCACGCATACAAAGCCTGAGGAACAGCTATGGAGTTTATTATGAACACAGGCAGACAAAAAAGTAAATAGAGGATTACAGTCTAGTAGTGAGACAGTCAGTTGGACGTCTACTGCCCAATCCATTCAGGAGAATTCTGGTTTTGAATGATGTCAGAGTTTACTGTCCAGAAGAAACTTTGTCAGATTATCAGGCAACAGGACACTAATACCAGTCTGCACTTTTAAAGCACTTGTTCAGATCAGATAAAACATCCAGAGCATGCTTTTCTCCTGTTAGGAGTCGTAGCTGTTGAGCTGTCAGGTTTGAAGGCAGAAATCATAATCCAGACTCATTGAAATTGCAATTGATATTGGAAAGAAGCACCCTTATCCACTCCTATAGGAAGTCACGTTCCCTGTCGTTTGTCTGATGTCTTTACAGCTGACTAAACCTGTGTAATATAAGTTTACGCTAGGTAAAAGTTGTGCTGAACTAAACATCTGGTTTTGTGGTCTGAGTGATGTGGTGGTTTTGAACTGAAATGCCTCATGTGGATTTCACCTGATGCCATTATTTCAGTTCCATGGTTTTGTCCTCCGAATTCTACCAGCTGGTGCTGGTAAGGTCTTGAAAAAGAAATGAAATAAATCAAAGCCCATCTTTCTTAATTTATAAGTATGTTTGATCTTTGCTAGCTGGTTGCAGGAGTACTGATCTTGCTTAACTTTCCACCTAAAGAGACCCTTGGGTCAAAACTGCAACATTCAGTTACAAAAATGACATTTTGCTTACCCGACCAGTTAATGTTATCAGTCAAGATGGATTAGAATCCAAGCAGTTATGTCAAATAAACAAGGCATGATTAAGCCAAAGGGGCTCCCAGCGTGTCAGAATTAAAAGCTTCTAAAAGCCTGTAACTTCTCATGTTCTTGATTCTTCAGATGTGGAAACAACTTCTGTGCAACGCACCGCTATGCAGAGACTCACACCTGCACCTACGACTATAAGAATGCAGGGCGAAGGTATTTGCAGGAGACCAATCCTGTCGTTAGTGCACCAAAGCTTCCCAAAATCTAACACGGTTGTGCTGCATGTGGCCGTTCTGCCATTGAAGAGTGTTATTACATTGAGAGAAGCACTTGCTTAAACTGCATAAGTTTGCCATGCTCCATGTTTAAAGATTTGTCAAGTAACAAAAGCACACGAGGATGCATCCTGTCGAAGAATAATGTGAACACTACTGCAATTAAAACTTTTCTTCTTTAGCGAACGGAAAGTTAAAGATTAGTTTTTAAAAACTGACACTATGATTTACCTGTTACTGCACGTCTTGTGTTGTGTTTTATATTTGGAAAAGCTATTTCACTAGACAAGTCTTTAAAAGATGCACTTTACTAACTTTATTTACTGTATATCCAGACTCGAGGGGGTGTTGTAACGAGGGTGTCATGTAATGTCTTCTGTACTCTTGCGTTTCTTGTCCTTTGCGTGGGACCTTCTAAGTTATTTCACTAGAAAAATCCTCCCCGTTTTGCAAACAGCCTATTTTGAGATTTTTGGAGGGGATCGTGTGTTCCACCCCCCCGTTCCATTCAGATTGGTGTTCCTACACTGTGTATCCATTCTGAGAATGACATACCGCGTTAATCCCATTTTCTTAAAATAATACTGTTTATATGAGAAGTTTGTTTTTAAATAGAAAAATCCCCCTTTGTTGACATCAAATATAAGAAAGAACTTATTTTCACTTTTTTTGTAATCCTAGGTTTTTTTAAGACTTCACAACTTTGTTTGTTAAGGTGTTGAATGCTGTTACTGGAAGAAGTGCTAATAAATATTAAATTTTATTCTGGTTTATGCTCTTATAAATGCACAAAATGACTTTTCCTATCTTACGTTGTGCACCGAAGTTAAAAGTTGTGCTTTGTTGGGGGGATGGGGGGAAGAGCTTATTTTATTTTGTTTTCCAGAAGCACTGGCTTGTATCTGTTCCTACTGAAGTCAGCGGGGAAAGTTCCCACTAGGAATAGCGTGACCAATGCTGGATGATTTAGGTAAACCTCCTGAAGTCCTGCAGTTGCACTGGCCGAGGCAAAGTGGGTGCTCAACTACTGGCATGTATTAACCTGCAGTCTTCCTCCTCTCCAGCTGATACTCTACAAAGGCAGCTCAGTAGTTGCATGGGACCTGTAATGAGCACGCAGCTACTGCAGAAAGTGATGTTGCAGGAATATACCCACTGAAGGGCTTTCCTCTTTCATTCTCTTAATATGTCTGAAACATGTCCATAAGTTTGTGTTGCTTGAGGTGTTCTAGTGTAAATGGATTAATAAAACCTAGAACAAACTGCCAAAACAAAAGAAACCCCTCCACGTTGCATCTAGATAATTGGATGGCATTCCCTTTCTTGCCAGAGTCCTCAATTGGTTAATGATCAGTGCTGCATTCCGGTTGAACAGTAGCGGCTGATGAGCACGGCAATCAAAAGCTGGGCCAAAAAAAGGAAGGATTACTGAAAGCAAGAGAAGTAACTCGAAGAATTTTCATCCCTGGAGGAAATCCATGTCATGTAGTCCACCTGAAACTTCTTAATTTTATGAATCTGGAGTTTTCAGAGAGTGATGGCCAGGGGGAAAATGTTTCAAACTTACTCTTCCGGTCAGTGATAAGGTGAAAAGGTAGTTCTGTGTGTGTGTGATTTCTAGGCTTATTCTTACTGGGCAAAGTTGCACCTAGGATGAAGAACACATCATTACTGAACAGTGTTAGGTACTGTGAACGTGCCTGTAGTTTTTATTTTGTGTCCAGCATGGGGCAATATTTGATGCCAAGGGAAAAGAATAAGGAATGGGGCAAACGTACGAGTGTTGTCTCAGCAGCTACTTATTTGTGGCTCAGGCTTGGCCTTTTTTATACGTCCAGTAGAGATCTGGTAAGAAATGGAACTAAGATAATGTTGGCTGTTATCACTTAATCTGATTTTTCCATAAGTATAACTGTCAGGAAGTTATTTTGCAGTGCATTAGAATGGACATACTCAAATTTTAGTAAGACTACGTAACTGAGATGTATGGCAAGAAGTCTGAGTCAGATCTCAATTGTGACTCTTCCCTTTCTGCATATGCATAAAGTGCACAACAACTATCTTCAGAAAATCCAATGCAGTAATAGGACTATTATTATTCTGTGTGCAGCTTCTCATAATTTTTGTTACACTTCATTTTGACTATACCTAATACAGCTTTCTTGTGCAGAACTCTCCTGGTTTTCTTCTCATCTCCCAACACTGTTACAGGCACTCATATTTTCAACCACTAGTACAGCCCTAAGAGCACCTCATTTTTAGCTGTGATTAACCGTTTCAGTTGCTAATTTATGTGCTGTTGGGTTTTGACAAATCCCGTGTTAGACTGTGCTATGGATTAATTACCGTTTACTGTGTAAACTTACTGAAGTGGTCTGGTTTTCCGAGTATTAGTCAGTGCACTGTGGTGCTGTGCATCTGCTGTAGACAAACATTTAGCTTTTGTGTATTTGTTCATGTAATGAGATCGTATCATAAAGCATTTACATAATGGCAGTTTAACAATGACTTCAATGACTTCGGTGTGTGCTTCTCTGCATCCTTGTTGGCTGGTTTTTGCGTGCTGCTTTTATGCTTGAGGACCTGTGAGGCATACCCAGGTTGGTCTCTTGTTGAATGATCTCCAGGATTCTTTTGTCAAGTTGTAAAGTGCCGCTGAGGTGTCAGAAATGCTTTTGGATCCTGAACAAAGTATTTATTTTCTCTGAAATATCTAGAAGGCCATGGTATTAAAAGTCTGTCTGCTTACAATTCCCATCTCTATTCAGTTTGCAGTCCCCTGGGATGTAATTGCACCAGTGCCTCCTAACAGTCTTCAGTTGTAGACAAGGCTAGAGTTGTTACTGCTTTATCTTACAAAAATGAGGTGTTTCTAGCTTTTTTACGTGCCATGAATTAGACACTTGGGTTTCTTTCCAAGTACTTCATGCTTTCATGATGGGACACCATCTTCTTGTGGGTTTGGAGTTGCTTGAGCCTGTAAGGCATTGCTTCCACCTGCAGCTGTTGTGCTGGGTCACGTTTTTCCAATTTTTATGTAAATCAGGTTCATCTTGAAATGCATTTGACATTTTCTCTGGTGTCTGTATTAGCACTGAGCCACAACTGCTTACGTGAGGACATTGATGTAACTAAGAGAGCCACATGAAGCTATGGGACGGTCGTGTGAGGTTACTGTAGTTCTTACCCTGGTTTTAGTTTGGGGTAGTTGTGCAGTGTTCGTAGTGGTCAGAGCATTGGGTGGAAACCAGTGTGAAAAGGTGATTTCCTTCCTGCAGTTATTATCCCATCTAAAGATTGTCTACAAAAATCAGACAATATGCTCAATAGAAAGATGAACTTAGGCTGTTTGTTGTGAAGCAGATGTATTTAGAGCCATGGGGGTACTGTGGATGGTAACGCTTGAGTTTTAATATGTACAACTGTAATTATTCACTTTCTCAGAAGAAGTTTGCCAAAACACTCTCCTGTTCTCTTTGGTTTGAATTCCTAGTTGATATTTGATGGTTTTGAGGTTACTTATGTGTAGCATTGAATCTTACAAGCATATCTGCGCCCAGGTAAAAGGACGTTCCTTTTCACGGTATTAGTTTTTATCCTCCTTTTCCCTATGTACACTGAACAAAGATACAGGTCAAAGGTTTTTGCAAGCATTTTTAGCTCATCAGAAATGCTTTTCTACTGCTTTCGAAAAAAGAGAGCAGTTGCTTGAACAGATGAGGGTTGTCTTTCAACCATGGTGTGTTACACAAAGGCCACGAGATGTCAGTGGAGATCTCTCTTTGAGAGCCGATTTGGAATAAACCAGTAACATACACAAAATGGGAACAGAACGGTGTATTTCTAGTGATGGTTAGGCTGTTGCTGGTTTTGACCAATCTTACGTTCCTAGCTTGTCTTTATTTCTTAAGCAGTGAAACGTGAATTCCTTTATTTATCAGGTAGCCTTCTTGAGCAAAGCATTTCAGCACGCTGGTTTTTGTTGTCCCTCTCATTGCTTTGTTTACAGTAGGGTGGATGCTTGCCTTATTTTTCCCTGCGGGAAATCACTCCCTTTTTATTAGAATTTACAGCCATAAGTTAAAGAAGGGGTCCTCTACTGTAGCTCTTTGGACCTCCTGAGATGCTATAGGATTTTTCCTTATGAATCCGTCCATCCGTTAGGAGTTTCACTACGAAGGTTGCGTGGTTAAAGAACTGATTGTACTTCAAAGCCTTTCCAGTCTTGCAAGAATGATGTGCCATATTTTCTCTCTCAAAAGACAAGGCCATGTCATCCAACCACATGTGGATTGACTCCTTGAGGCAAGTTCTTTCCTGCAGCTGAGTAACTCCATGAATAAAACACTTAATTGTAATCAGCTTCTCCTGGGACCACTGGCTACATCTTATTAGAAAGGCTCAAAGGCAATTGTTTCAAAGTCATCAGTTGCTTCAAAAGGAATGCACTATTTAAGAAAACCACAGAATCCAGTGTGTGTCTTGCCTTACCAATATGTGAATCTGTCTATAGCTTAGGTTCTGTTTATTCCAGCCATTCCTTCTCCCTACCACGCACACGAGCACGCACATACACACATCCATTCAGTGGCTGGGAGAGTTGGCATTTTCAGCTCTTTCGTGTGTCAGTCTTGGTCTCCTTCATCTTTTTTTATCCGTGAGTCCATGAATAAGCCAGTGTGTTTGGGTTTCTTGTCAATGCATCCATGTAATTTTTCGCTCTCTGTTCTTTTATGGCCATTGTGTGCATGTTTCTTGAAAACTATTTCAGCGTGGGTCTTTGATTTGCCTTTCCCATTAACGAGTCTTTAGGAAAACAAGAAGAAATCCTTGCATAAGCAGCAGTTTAATATCATATCTACAAAAGTTTGCATAAAACAGGAAGGCAGCTCTTGCCCTGCTTACTGTAAGTCTTCAGTGCAGTTCAATTTGATTTGAAGCAATTTCTGCTGGCAGCGTACAGTGTGAGAGAGAGGTTTTGGTTGTTCTGCAGGAATGAGGCTTGCCTAGTAATTAGATCTTTTTCAGAAATTATAAGCATTAGTATGCAAAAGAACCGCACCTAGAAGCGTGGTCTGCCAGTTTGTACATAACTTTTCTCTTCTATGGGGACTTTGTGGCGGAGAACTTGTGGAGGTGTTTGCTTGCAGTGTGAAGCTGCAGAGAAGAGGCACCAGGGGGCACTGGAGGCATTTTAAGAACGGCAAAACAAATCGGTTTTGTCCAATAATGTAATTTACAAAGAAAACCATCCATAAAAGAATGTGATTATTTCTTTATGTCCTTATTCTGACCACTGAACAGATCTGAGGAGGTCAGCAGGAGTCCTGCAATTATGAATTTCAGGGGTGTCTGCTAGCTAGGTTATGCTGGATGCTATATATGCATTAAAAAAGTTATCTGTCCCCATAATTTCATAGTGTAGAATGCCAGATATTGCTTTTGGTACAGATGCAGGGTGAGGATACAAAATAATAAATTCAGTGGTGTGTGAGGAGTGTACACCAGTAACTGCTCAAACAAACTGACCGCTCTTTACCACTTGTCCTTTATGACTTTGCAATTCAAGAAGCTTTACAGGTCCTCAGCAACAGAAATTTGTTCCTAAACCACACTTAAAGGGTGGTTTCAGTCCTTTTTAATCCAATCTTCTGTA